GACACAGACTGATCAGCAAACAAAGCTAAAGATTTTACTCTGAAAGTTTTATAATGTCCCGTCTCTGTTCCTCCTGCAGTTCCAGACACTGTTCAACATCTGGTTCTGGATGTGATTGAAAACAATGTGATCAAAGTTAGTTGTCGACAGCCAAGAGATGGTTTTAAAGGACCTTATAAGTCCTTCAGAGCACGTATYGATGGTCAAAAAGAACAGGAAAATGAAAAATGTGAATTTAAATTCACAGATCTGAGCTACTTAACAAACTACTCAGTGGAGGTTTGTATGTTTAGACTTTTGTTTTAGTTGCACACGAAAAAGTTCAGTTTTTTTCTGCTTATTTTTTAAATATTGATTTCTAATCAAAATAATCTCTTTTTACAGGTGTTTGCCTTCAACGGAGAGTTTATAGGCAAACTCACCACACGATATATTAAAACTCACTGTATGACTAATTTTATTGCATGAAAAAATTTATTGACTCTCTGCAGGTATTTCTGCTTACTTAAAATATTATTTTTGGCACTTTTTTTTTCAGATAATGACAAAGCTCTGATTGGGTTTATGGTCTTCCTCATCATCCTCACCTCTGTGGCTCTTCTCCTGGTTCTTTATAAGATCTACATTTTGAGACGCAGAAAGTCCAAGTAAGCATGTTTTTCTCCATCTGCTCAGCTGCTTCTGGGCTTTGCTCACTTTTAACTTTTACTCACAATAAAAAAGACCTTCATATATTAGAGATGTTTTTTTGTTTTGGTACATTGTTGAGATGTTTCTGAAACACGTTTGTCTTTGCAGTGAATTCGGTGAAAACATTAGCCTGATCTCACCAGGAAGTGAGTACTTTTACAGGTTTTGTTGTGATATTTATATTTGTTGTTTTGTACTTATAGATGCAGTGAAGGCCACGTGCAGTTTAAACATCCTAAACCCAGTCCTCTCACTGTTATCACTTCTTCAACCTGTATCTCAGTGTTTTTAGAGACTTTATTGTTATTAATGTAATATTAGAGGAAATATGATAAATAATAAAGCAGAAAAAGTTTACAATCAGAACAGTCACTGATCTAAAGCAGTGGATTATATTAATCCAACTTGATGATGAGGATCACACAAAGTTATTTTGTGTCTGAACTTCCTTTTTCTATTTTCTGCCGCAGATGAAGAAGAACATCTGTTGACGGTGGAACCGATCGCTGCAGAGGTTCTGCTGGAAACCTACAAACGGAAGCTCGCTGACGAGGCGAGGCTGTTCCTGGCCGAGTTTCAGGTACCGGCATGGATTTACAGAACTTCTTTTTATTCATCATCTAGCTCAGGGGTCTGCAACCTGTGGCTCTGGGGCCACATGTAGCTCTTTGGCCCCTCTGCAGCGGCTCTTTGAAAATGTGACCAAACATAGAATAAATTTGTTTTTTATACCCACAACAGAAATCAATTTGTATGTCAATATGTGATCAATGCTACTAATACAAAAAGTAAAACATGTTAGCTCATGCTAGCCTGTTGTTTACTTAATTTTTTCAATTTCTTTCTGTGATCTTTCTCCATCAGAATAACCTTTAAATAATTTGAAGACCACATAATAATAAGAATTAGGGAAAAATATGCTTGAATAATTCAGTTGTACTAGTTTTTATAAAATTTGGTATAAACTATATGTATTTTTATTTTTTTTACATGAAAATTGTCTTTTTATTTGTCCTGACGTGTATAATAATAAATAATATATTAATGATAGCAATATTTTTTTGTTTTATAATGTCACCTTCACTGACCGTAAAGGTGTCGGAAAAGGCCTCGAAAAGTTCCACGGACCACCAGTTGATAATAGCAGTTGTAGTTTGTACTGCTGCTCTGGACACATTTTATTAGTGAGACAAACGGCTGTTTTGATCATAAAGGTTACAGACCCCTACCCTAAGGCTAACCTTACAGGTACCTACCTGACCCTAAAACTAACAATAACTCAATTCACACCTTGGTCCTAAACCCAAACCAACCCCCAACCCACCAATGGTATTTAAACCAAATGGGGACTCGACGTTTGTCCCCAAATGC